ATTTGGTACTGTTCTGTATATCTGTGCAAAGTTCCTTTTTTTTTTTTTTTTTTTTTTTTTTTTGGTGGAACAGTAGTCATTGACCATATTCAAGAGATGGGTTGCTTAGGCAGAGATCTTCCCCAGTCGGAGTTGCGTTGAGACGTTTTTATCGTTTGTGTGTTTGCTGCCCTGGCCCCCTTTGGGACGAAGGGGTGGGCTGTAAATTTAATAAACAATCATAAATAAGTGTTCGAGAAAGGCACTGGACGGAGCTGGAATTTCTCTGTACACATCTGCCTAGGGGATTTTTACTTCAACTCCCTAGACCAAGGGCACTTTCACAGAAATATACTGAGAACAGCCAGCATTCCAAGCACCACATTCTCTCTCTCTCTCTCTCTCTCTCTCTCTCTCTCTCTCTCTCTCACACACACACACACACACACACACACACACACACACACTCCCTGGAATGATGCTCAGCCCAGGATACTGCAAATGGACACCAGAAAGTAAGCCTGGGTGTCTACAGACCTGCTGCTGCTGCCAGTGGCAAAAGGGCTGAGGGAAAAGAAGCCTTGTTGTCACAACTGCTAACAGCGAGCCTAGCCCCTGACTGAGCTGTTGGGGGAATTTATCTCCCCGCCCCGAATAAATTCTGTGAAATTCCCGCTGACCAACAGGGCTGAGAGTTTTGAGAAGCCGTTTGTGCCAGTGTTCACATAGTCCACCGGTTTCTCAGGAAAGGAGGAGAGCTGTTTGTGAATTTGAATACATTTCTTAGAAAGTTCAGTGGAACAGAGTAGAGGTTCTGTGGTCAGGCTTGGTGAGCTGTTGTTACAGGTGGAGGCCTTATAATGAGTCAGACCCATTGGCCCATCGTATTGTGTACACTGACTGGCAGCGGCACTCCAGCACCCCCTGGAAACACTGCCAATTGAGCTTCCCAGGGCTCTACCAGTGAGCCATAACTTTTTCCAAGTCAAATGTTATACGGCAGGTGGCATGTTCTCTGGGGCTGTTCCTCCATATTCACTGTGATTATGCAGAAAATTCACACAAATATCCACAAGGTGACACTGTGGAGCACCACTTGCCTCATTACAAATTTTTAATCTATTTATTTTCTGTTGATTTCAAGCTGCTGAGAGCATTTTCCAATTCTCCATCAATCCTAGAAATTTGCCTTTAGAATATTTTATTTTATTTTAAACAAAGAAGAACATTCCTGGGTCCTGAATGTGACACCTATAAAATAGTCCATCTGCACTATGCACTTAAAGCAGCATCCTACCACTTTAAGCAGCCATGGCTTCCCCCCCCCCCCAAGGATCCTGGGAACTGTAGTTTGTTAAGTGCACTGAGAGTGGTTACGAGACCCCCCTCACAGAGCTGCCGTTCTCGGAGTGGGTTTACGGTCAATCCCTCCTCCCAGGTAACTCTGAAAACTTCAGCTCTGTGAGGGGAATACAGGGTATCCTAAAAACTCTCAGCACCCTTAATAAACTACAGTTCCCAGTTCTGCGGGGAGGGGCTCGGGGAGGGCCAGTGGGGAGACTGAGTGTATCTGAAGAAGTGTGCATGCACACGAAAGCTCATACCAAGAACTAACTTAGTTGGTCTTTAAGGTGCTACTGGAAGGATTTTTTTTTGTTTTGAGTGATAAATGTCTCTCTTTTCATTTGAGGGATGTTGGAGGTTATGCAAGAAAAGGCTGTCCAGTGTCACTGCTGCTGTTTACATGAGCAATAGAGCCTGTAGCCTCTTAGACATGAACCAGAGACACAGGGTACAGTGGAACCTTGGTTCTTGAACTTAATCTGTTCCAGAAGTCCGTTTGACTCCCAAAACCATTCAAAAACCAAGGCGCAGCTTCTGATTGGCTGCAGGAGCTTCCTGCACTCAAGCAGGAAGCCGCGTCTGACGCTCAGCTTCCGAAAAACGTTCGGAAACTAGAACACTTACAGCATGGGTAGGCAAACTAAGACCCAGGGGCCGGATCCAGCCCAATTGCCTTCTAAATCTGGCCCAAGGTTGGTCTGGGAATCCGTGTGCTTTTACATGAGTAGAATGTGTGATTTTATTAAAAATGCATCTCTGGGTTAATTGTGGGGCAAAGGAATTCATTTATTATTATTATTATTATTATTATTATTATTATTAAAAATATAGTCTGCTCCCCCCCCCCCAAGGTCTGAGGGACAGTGGACAGCTGACTTACGGCGTTTGGGAGCTGATTTGTTTGTCAATGAAGCCATTCAAGAAACAAGGTTCCACTGCAATGGATTAAGAAACGGTCAAATTAATATAACATTGCCTTTGGGTGATATAATGTCATCTTGGGAAAACCCAATACTATTGCAGTGTTGTGATTTTAATGTTATAGAAGCTTTTGGGCCTGTTTCTGAGTGTGATGAGAAGAAAAACAAAACAGAGGTTATTGCAATCAACCTTGATGCACAGGATAAACTACAGATCACGCAACCATATGAGTTAGTTACCAAAAAAGCAGTAAAGTGCCTTGGGGTTAAGCTGGTAGATGATGTCAATAAAATTGGGAAGATCAATTATGATCCTCTGGGATAGGCGGCGAAGTCTGATATAGATAGGCAGAGTAAGCTGCAGTTATCTTGGTTAGCCAGGATTAATGCAATAAAGATGAGAATATTACAGAGATTTTTTATTTTTGTTTATTACATTAGCCCTGCTGGTTGTCTCGAGAGAGCTGAAAAGCTAGGAGAAAAGTCTTGAGAATTTTATTTGGCAAGATAAGCATCCTACAGCAGATAGTAACAGCATGCATACATCAAAACGGAAAAGAAGGGCTTGCAGTCCTGATTCTAGCTAGATATTGCGAAGCAGCACAGCTATTACAGCTGAAGTTACGGATTTCCCAGAAGAAAGAGGAAGACCTGCATCAGTAAGATAGCTATTTATAGATTTTCCCCTCCAGCAAAACTAATGTGGGTATAAAGGAAGGATGGAGGGGAGGATCGGGGAGGGTGAAAAACCCCATAGTTCCTTAGAAATTATTAAAAAAACGAGGGATAAGTATGAAACAAAACTGAGTTCTTACATTTCATCCATGACATGGTGATTTGGCATTGCAGCTTTATTAGGAGAAATCGGATTTCTCGGATTGGTTGAGAAATGGGATGTTGTGCTGTGGTGAGTTTATTCCAGATGGATGTCTATTAACAAGACATGAAATATCTTTAAGTCCAGGGAGGTTGCTACCATCCTGGCATCGATATTTTCAAATGATGGTTTTCTTAATGGAGCTGCTGCGGCCTAGGTTGTCCGCCAGGCTGAAGACAGCATGGAAGAAGAGTATCAAAGCTGATACAAAGGGATCTGTTTCAAGAAACTATTAGGTCTTGATGGATACAAGAGAGTGAAATAGTCTGTGGACTGAGAAGGGAAAGATAACCAGGGAGGAATATCAGAGAGCCATTCTGGAATGAAGTGTGGAACCAAGTAGATAACTTATCTTTATCAATTAAAATAACATGGTATCAGCTGCTATTGAAATGGTATCTAATGCCAGCAAGATGGAAAAGAATTTGCAGAGCTGACAACTTTAAGTGTCGGAAATGCCAGGCAGACTATACACAGCAATGCGCACGTGCAGTGAAAACGTCCGTCCTTAACAAATTATCGGAGAAAACCCCTGCAATGTGTTCCAGATATAATTGGCTTTTGTAATAGGGCCCACAATATTGCTGATCCTGTTGATAAAAGACAAATACTTTCAGTTTCTATCTTAAGAACAGCTGCAGAAATCATTTGGGCTGGAAAATGGATGGGCAGGACTGGTTCTTTAAATGTATTGAACTGGCAGCTATGGATAAACTGTCAGAATCTGTTTGGAAGAAGGAATTGTACAAGGGGCAATCTTGAATGTTCTGAGGGATGGAACTGTTCTGCGGCCTATTAGAATGAGCTATATGGAAAGGAAAGGCTGGGAATAGACTTGCTTACAATAAAATTTAGTACAGTAACAGTGCAATGCCACACTATTCTTGCATACTTGGAAATGCATCTTGTTGCTTTCCCGTGGGGCTGACTTCCATTTTAAGTGTGCATGGAATGTCAGCCATAACTAAACCGCAAACATATTAAGCTACTTGTTTTTAGGTTCTGGCAGTCATGTATTGATTTGGACAGAGATGACTTGGCTACTCCATCCTCTGGTAGATAACCTCCAAACTGGGCCTGGTTCAAGGTGCTCCAATTGGTCTTTAAGCTGTAAACATCTTTGACCCCAGATACCTGAAAGACTGCCTCCTTCTCCACAGACCTCCTCAAGTGTTAAGATCGGCAGAGGAGACTCTCTGGGCAAATCACAGCATTCCCCCTTTTTAATACAGTGGTACCCCCCTTTTTTTAATACAGTGGGTGGCGCTGTGGGTAAAACCTCAGCGCCTAGGACTTGCCGATCGCATGGTCGGCAGTTCGAATCCCCGCGGCGGGGTGTGCTCCCGTTGCTCGGTCCCAGCGCCTGCCAACCTAGCAGTTCGAAAGCACCCCCAGGTGCAAGTAGACAAATAGGGACCGCTTACTAGCGGGAAGGTAAACGGCGTTTCCGTGTGCTGTGCTGGCTCGCCAGAGTAGCTTCGTCACGCTGGCCACGTGACCCGGAAGTGTCTGCGGACAACGCTGGCTCCCAGCCTATAGAGTGAGATGAGCGCACAACCCTAGAGTCTGTCAAGACTGGCCCGTACGGGCAGGGGTACCTTTACCTTACCTCAGGTTAAGTACTTAATTCGTTCTGGAGGTCCGTACTTAACCTGAAACTGTTCTTAACCTGAAGCACCACTTTAGCTAATGGGGCCTCCTGCTGCCGCTGTGCCGCCGGAGACCGATTTCTGTTCTCATCCTGAAGCAAAGTTCTTAACCTGAAGCACTATTTCTGGGTTAGCGGAGTCTGTAACTTGAAGCGTATGTAACCTGAAGTGTATGTAACCTGAGGTACCACTGTAATAATAATGATGATGATGATGATGATGATAGCGGAGATGACTTGCCCAGGAGGCTTGGTGAGGCTATTGCCTTGGGTGGCAAATTCGGGACAGCTGGGAGGGGCAACAGATTGGGCCTGCAAGGAGCATGCCACTTGCCATCTCCTGCATTTTCCTCCTCCTGTTTCGCTGCCAACTTCTCTGCTGCCACCCCTGCCTCCTCCTCCAATGATGATAACAGTGACTTTGCCACTGCCTCCAGACCTCTTTTTCGGCCTCCTTTTTTTCTCAGAAGGTGGCAGGTAAGTGGGAGGGAGGGCAGCAGTGGCGGGGGAACCATCAATGTTGGAGGCAGTGGCATAATTTTCCCTCCAGTGGCAAATGTGCTGGACCAGCCTTGGATTAAATCTATGCTTCTAGGTGTCATAAGAAAGCTGCAGAGACAGTGTAGGATAGTGCACACCCCAGAAATTATCTCTTTCACCTTCTGCCTTCTGGAAGAAGGTACAGGGTTATAAAGACTAGGACTAGCCGCCTGAGAAACAGTTTCTATCCAAATGCAATTTTGGTTTTAAACGCAGTATAAGGTAGTCTCTATGGGAGTATATTGTATTTAATTATGGTGTATCAGAGTTTTTAGGGGGGCTAACCAGGCTGGGATAGCTGGGATAACAGGCTTGTTGGTTTTTGAATGTCTGATGTAGATTTTTTTTCAATTTCTTTGTTCTGTATGGGAGACAATGACAGTAAAGATTATTGTATTGTATTGTATTGTATTGTATTGTATTGTATTGTATTGTATGTATCGTATCGTATCGTGTCGTGTCGTATCGTATCGTAAAGGAAGCATTGTTCCACTTAACAAATATTGAAATGAACTATTGTGCATATATATATATATATTCTAAATAAAATTATATGAAACCAGAATGAATAAAAACAAAGTGAAGATTCAGAACCTCTTTTGCAAAACACAGCATTCTTTCTTAAAGATTTTTTTGCCTTCAGCCTCCCCTCCACAATATTTCTGGCTCTGTGGCCACACTACATGCAACCCCTTTTAAAAAGTGTGTTATTTCTAGACAGGTGGGAAGGAGGCGTGGTTCTCTTGAAAGGGGCTGTGCAACCACTTCCTCTCGCTAGTATAAACTGAAGCTTTGCTTCCTCTTCATGAGCTCAAAAGTTCCTTTGTGAGACGGCTGCCTTGTGTCAGAAGCAGCAGAGGAAGGTGGCGGAGGAAGGGAAAGGGTCTGGTGCCCCACAAGGGCTGGAGATGGGTCTGAGACTACAGAAAGGTAAGTGGCAGATTCTTAAAGAAGCCTTGGGGGTTTTGGGGAGGGTGTAATCGGTTTGTTGACTGTTCTGGGGTGTAAACAGTCCCATTTAGATGTAAAATAATTGCTTCAGCTTTTTTCCAGACAAGGCTTCTTATTAACAGCTGCAAGGCAGGCAATTCAACAGGTGACACTTTTCCTTAGGATGGGCTAAAAAGTTTCATTAGTTGAATTGCTGCCTGCTTTTGCCGGTGTTAAAGAGCACAGAAGCCGACTTTCACCGTAAAAACTTGCTAAAGGAAGAGCTAAACCAATGGTAATCTGGCAATCTGGCATCTGTCCATGGGATTATGTCAATGCAAATAAACAGAAGCTAAATATGGCATAAGCTTTTCCCCAGCTCTGGGGTAGACCTTGTTTTTCTACTAAAAATACAGCCGTAAACATTTTTGCCTTCCCTATGTGTGGTCCTGAGCGTGGCTATTTCAAGCTTATTATTTTTGCTCCTGACGTGTTAGGACTACTGGATGCACCTAAATATTTGTATCAGCACTATTACTTACCTGCAATACTTGCACTCAGAAATCCATAAATAAACATTTAGAGGGGGGGGAGAGAGTGCCAGCACAGAAGCCCTGCCAGAAAGGAAAGATTAGCAATCCTCACTGGCAAGCCTTCTTAAAAGATGGATTTGGTATACTGTAACATTTAACAATTAGAAGTGGACTCGCTCTCCAAGAGAAGATCATTGTGGGCTTTTCGATTAGACCTATACTGCCTTGAGCTCAGTGCAGTATTTATGTCCATGCTGTGCTGGAGTTGCCCTCTTGGCATGCTAAGGGTATGGCTACATTTTGCAATTAGAGATGCAAGGGGGAGTATCATATTCCCCCCTTGGCATGGAAATAAAGGGACGTGGGAAACTGACTCAGCCACCCTAAGAAATGCTTATTCAGAGGTTCCAGTCCCCGGTAAGAGCATTTGAGGCCGCAGGCCTACTCTGCTGGAGGGTGAAGTCACTGTTCGAAGTAACAAGAGCTAGGAAACAAAAGCGATGGCGTTCTTCAGAGGTGCCGTCTACTTTCCACCCGTCACGTTTTCATGTGACTCAGCTAGGGTGTCACACACTCTGGTGGTCTCTAAACAGTGATTGCCTGGTCCTGTCAATCTGGTTCCTCTCCATGCTTTTGAAGGGACAGGCAGTAGTGATTCACTGACATGCAGACACTCTGCCACCCCCCTCCTTTGCAGCCGTGTCTGTTATGGGTCACATCCACACCATACATTCAAAGCACATGACTCCACCCCCCCCAAAGAATCATTGGATCTGTTGTTTACTCCCCAGAGAGCTAAAATCCCCTGCACCCCTCAGAAACTACAATTCCCATGATTCTTTGGAGGAGGGAGTTGTGTACTTGAAATACAGTGGTACCTCGGGTTAAGTACTTAATTCGTTCCGGAGGTCCGTTCTTAACCTGAAACTGTTCTTAACCTGAAGCACCACTTTAGCTAATGGGGCCTCCTGCTGCCGCTGCGCCACTGGAACACGATTTCTGTACTCATCCTGAAGCAAAGTTCTTAACCTGAAGCACTATTTCTGGGTTAGTGGAGTCTGTAACCTGAAGTGTATGTAACCTGAAGTGTATGTAACCTGAGGTACCACTGTATACAGTGTGGAGGTGACCCAGTGTCCTTTGTTCCCAAAGGAGCAGGTTGACTTTGGGAAATCACTGCTCTAAAATGACACATTTATAGTTAGATCAGGAGACTGATCTACGCTCTCACATGCGAGGGTAAAGGTAAAGGGACCCCTGACAGTTAGGTACAGTCGTGGCCAACTCTGGGGTTGCGGCGCTCATCTCGCTTTATTGGCCAAGGGAGCCGGCATACAGCTTCCGGGTCATGTGGCCAGCATGACTAAGCCGCTTCTGGCGAACCAGAGCAGTGCACAGAAACGCCGTTTACCTTCCCGCCGGACCGGTACCAATTATCTACTTGCACTTTGACGTGCTTTCGAACTGCTAGGTTGGCAGAAGCAGGGACCGAGCAACGGGAGCTCACCCCGTCGCAGGGATTCGAACCACTGACCTTCTGATCGGCAAGTCCTAGGCTCTGTGTTTTAACCCACAGCGCCACCCATGTCCCTCCATGCCAGGGTACTGTTTCATAAATAAACAAACAGGCCTACTGCGGGAGGGCATTTGTGCTTGAGCTCCTAAAACTAGCAGATCAGAACGCAATTGCATTTGCCAGACAGGTGTGTTTACCTGCTGTACACAATTTCAAGTGGCACCAGCCCCGTGGGGAGCCCAGTCCGGCGTAAGAGAAGGAGCCTCTTTGCGCAAGCCACATTATGCAACATGAGTTGCATCATTCTGACTCATGGCTTTCAGAGCTAAAATTAGAAGTACTGTGGTACCTTGGTACTCGAATGGCTTGGCTCCCAAACAAATCGGCTCCCGAACACCGCAAACCCGGAAGTAAGTGTTCCGGTTTGCAAACGTTTTTCAATGCTGCTTCCGCTTGAGTGCAGGAAACTCCTGCAGCCAATCAGAAGCCGCACCTTGGTTTTTGAACAGTTTCGGGAGTCAAACGGACTCCCAGATCAGATTAAGATCGAGAACCAAGGTAGCACTGTAGTTGGGGGGAGGTTGGCCTTTCCTGGTGCCCCCTCACTATACTTTTTAAAAAGATTATTGGGGGGGGGTACATTTTGGCTACAATCAGTATGTGTGTGGGGTTTGCCACAAGCTGATTTCTACTCCGATTACACCCAGTTAAGTTAATGAACCAAATATCATCATTCCCATTAATTTCAGTGGATCTCCTCTGAGTATTGGATACAACCCTGGGTGTGAACCTAGTATATTTATTTCATTAAGGGCCCTCTACCTCCCTCCTGCTCCAATCAGAAGTTGAAAAAGCTGCTGCTGTACCTTTAACGAGCAGCTTGATGTGTGCAGGTATTCAGGAGCTACTGTGTTGTGAAAAGCTTCAGGCTCTGCACCTGCCGCCCCGCAAAGTGTTGCCAAAGGCGTAAGAACAGATTGGGCTGTTGTGTTTGAGTGTCCTGCTTTTTGGGCAACTTGGCAACTAACACACGCAAGGAGTGATGCTGCAATAAGGAACCTGGATGTTGTTAGTCTTGGGATCCCCTCGGCCCAGCCAGGATGGCCGTCAGTGGTGGGTTGATGGAGTCCGGCAACATCTAAAGACCCACAGATTTCCCCAACCCCTGGACCGCTTGTGTATTCGCAGCACAGCTGTCAGCAGGCACAGGAAGAGAGCTGTATCAGCAAAGGATGCAAGCATAGGCCGTTGATGTTCCATTGATTGGGGGGGGGACAAAAGAGCCAGGACGCCTGGGTTCCTGCTCCTCTTGTTTCAGAAGGCTACTGGGCAGAGTCAGCCCCTTGAGGTGGGTGGCTTCCCCCAGATGTCTCCCCCCCTCTCTCTCTCTCTCTCTCACACACACACACACACCCCATCTCAAGAGATCGAACCATCTGGCTGCTTCCAAGAAGACAGGAAACAATCTGGGGTTTCCCAGTGACGCGTTGCTGGGGATTCCATTCTGCACGCGGCCTCTTTGCCGAGTGCGGGGGCTGATCACACATGGCCACACACAGCAGAACACTTTGTCTCTTTCCTGCCACCGGGGGCAGGGGGGCGATGGTAGTCCCTTGGCCAGAAAAAAAAGAAGAAAGCACTGGGCTCAGAGCCAGGCCCAGATGTCTGCCGGTCTGCTGGTTAACCAGAGACTCGGAATCCCCATGTCCTCCGGCTTCCCCATGAAAGCCCCTTGCTCTCTCAGGGTTAAGTCTGGGTCTCTGGGGTTTTGACTCCTCTGCCCGCACCAAGTGGGTGGAAGTTCTTCTTGCAAACCACAGGTGGTCCCTCTGTGCCAATTGCAACACCATCGTTCAAAGAATTGTAGAGTTGGAAGGGACCACGAGGGTCATCTATTCCAACCCCCTGCAATTCAAGAATCTTTTGCTCAACGTGGGGCTCGAACCCACAAATCTGAGATTAACAGTCTCATGCTCTTACCAACTGAGCTATCCAAGGGAATCTGTTGTTTCACAGATGCCCTGTAGGTTAGAAAAGGAATGTGGAAGGGAAGAAAACTGGGTAGAACCCATTGTCCTTGATGGGCTGGTTTTCTTCCTGCAGAGATTTCCTCCCCCATAAAACAGCAGTCAAAATTCACAAATGTTTACCTAGTTTCCATCATCCCCGGCCATGCTGGCTGAGGCTGAAAGCTGGATATAGACCTGGATTTACAGCACATTTAAATATTTATGCCACCTTTACTCCAAGGAACTACGACTGGAAAAAATAGTTCTTCCCCCCACCCTTGCTCCACTAGGCTGTGACATAGTGACTGAAGTAAGGTCATCCAGGGAGTTTGCTGGCTGAGTAAGGCTTTTAACCCTCGTCCCCATGTCCAAATCTAACACACTAACCATTACAGTGCTAGACAAAGGGGAGATAGGTAGATTCTCATTAATACAGAAGCAAAAATCAACTAATTAATGATACTCTGTCTAATGAGAATCTCCCTAATTCACACTTGGTGTACAGTATTGGTTCAAGAACTGAAACACAGCTATCTTCTGAAATTCGCATTTCTCTGAATTTTGCGATGGAGTTCTCCAACCAACCAATGCTTACAAATGTACATATATTGGGGGAAGTGTACATAAAAATGTATATATTAGTGAAAACAATATAGAAATATGCATTATAATAGGGGAGACTGCTTGCAAGACTCTGTATATTAGTCAAAAACTGCATAGAATTATGTGCTTATTAGGGGGGAATTTGCGCTAAAATGCTTATGAATTTTCCCAATAAATCACAAATTGCTGTAGAGCTGAACATGAGATTGGAAAAAGGAGAAACTGAGAAAACCAAAATCAACAGATTCATCCACCGCTATAAGACATACCAGCATGCAGAGGGGCACAGGTTTCCCACCGTAATAAAAGATGCTATATCTATTATATTGACCTCTTGTT